ATAATGACGTCACTTGAGACCTCTGACTTGCGCTTGAAACACATTTTCAAATAGTTTAGCTGGAAAACATGAAAAACAGTTATTTTTGTGTCGCCTCGGCCAGCCAGTGCGCACGCGCCAAATGCGTCGACGTCAAGTGCATGTGATAATGATTGGGGAGAAGGCATGTGCACAATGTCCACCGCGCGGTCGTCCACCTGTTCGAGTGTAGCCGACAAAACATTTAGCTTCATACGTTTGAAGTTTGTGTGAAATGTATCTCCGAGTCTGTGAATCAGCCTTTAAAATAACCAGTTAGTGTTAGTCACCACCGGCAACTCGGACAGACATGGACTTCTTTCTTTATAGGAAATAAAACCAGCTTCATTACAGCGAGCTGTCGGGGTTATCTGCGTTAACAGAACCCTCTTACAAGCTGCTGACAACTTTGTAGGCTGTAGGAAACGAATGGTGGACATAGCAGCTGGTCCTGTTTAAGTGTCTGCTGTCCCCCTTTTATCTAACTCTGCCGGACTGCTTCTTCTTCTGCAGGTAAAACTTAAAATGTACATTTTATTATTATGATACATGGTGAAGCAGACAAGCAGTGGGTCAAAGTTGTATTTGTTGAGAATCACATTTTACTGTTACTTTCATGATGGCTTTAAGTCTTTGAGCTCATGTGTGTTAGCAGCAAATTCCTGTGATTCCTTCTGCTGAGCAGTGAGTAACATTAGGTTATGGGTCGATTTGGTGGTTTAACTTTCTGATGCTTTGACTCATTTGTAACTTATTGCTCGGATGTTGCTCAGCCGTACAGTCTGCACTATTATTGTCTGACTCCAGTATGGTGTGTTATAATTACATGCATGCAAGGAAAAGCCAACTGTTAACATCAGTTATAAGCCTATACATAAGGTAAATATTTGTAAGGTAAGACTCCAGCACCTGTGTTACCTGGGGCAGTCAAGGGAAGGTATTCGATGAGCACCAGCCAAATACCTCAAAGAGATGAGACTGGTGGTGAGAGGCCAACTCAGCAATATGAATGAGCTCGAACCCATTGGTACAAATTCCAGCACGATAAATCTACGAGTAAAATGGAGAAGGGATTGCAGTCAGGGATGAAACGCTGGATGAAACTCATAATCTTCTCTTTAATGTTTTTCTTTCTTTTTCTTTCTCTCCTTTTATTGTTATAACTTGTTTTTCTTTCTTAATCACATTAAATTGATGGATATACACATCAAAACCTTAAATCTAATCAACATAGACATATTTACTTATTGACATACACCACCAAACAATTCACAATATAACATATACCCTTGCAAACATTTATGGACCCAACAATGTGGACCTATCCTTGTTTCATGGCTTTTTCTCTTTTATTAAGATAATTGTTTATAAATGACTCGACAATTACTACAATAGATGGATATCTTAATACAACTCCAGATTCTGACATTCAACATATATAATAAACCATTATATGAACTCTTACGGACTTGATGATATTTGGAGAATAAATAATCCCACATCTAGACAGTAAACATATTACTCCACCACCCATCAATCCAGGAACGTGATCATTGTGTGGAAGGTATTAACCCACAAAAAAACACAATTTATCATTAAACAGCTTAAATACGACAGCTTCCAATATAGCAGTAAAGCAGGAGTCAGCATAAATGTGAAAATTAAACTGGAGATCCAGTTCAGAATCCCCAAGACATCAACAATGTTTTCAAATCCTTCTATAATCAGTTATATAAACTAGATTATAATCCAAACCAAAATTATATAGAACACTTCTCAAAAGAAAAGGATCATTCTAATTTCTCCACTGAACAAGATAATATAACAAGCTTTTATTATGACAACAAAAGAACAGGGCAGACATGTCAGTGATGGCCGATATGGATGCGTCTGCGTTGGGGGGTGATTGGGATGTGCCCTGGGATATCAGCACCCTACATGCCTTTTGCTGGCTTTCTCTGGCGCCGACAGTTTAAAGTGGTTCAAAAGGAAATCACAATTTAATAAAATTGCCCCTCCCCTTAATTCATGTATTTTTACTACTTATAGTACTGTCATTACGAGGTATAATTATTATTATTATTATTATTATTATTATTATTATCATCATCATGGACAATGTTGCATTTCAGGGCATTCTTTTTATTTGTTTATTTTTGTTATTTCTTTAGCATATATAGTTTATATAGTTTTCATGACTATGAAATTATTTCATGTACCTTTTTTTTAATCAACACATACTTTACTGTGCATAGTTAACGAAGTACACTGGACTCAGTTTAATAATATTTTCACACAGTTTGCTTATCTTTTTGTCTGTTGACCTGTCCTTACTGGTCTCGTTTGTCTTGTTTACCTCACACAAAAAAAGGATGACTACTCCCCAAGGTTACTTGCTTCAAAAGTGTCTCAGGTGTCTAAAGACAGACCATGATGAGGAACATAGAAGCTCAAGCTCCCGCATGAAGTGCGAAAGGGCGTAAAGGATGGCACAGAGGCTCTTATCGTGTCAGCACAAGTGTCCCTAAACACCAAATCCACAGTGGGAGAAGTCTGCCACAGCCGGCAGGGCCCAAGCAGCAGACTGCCACGGTGAGAGAAACCACTAAAGCTGGTTGAGAACAGCAGGGCTCCTGTGGGACTGACAGTTCCAGGCAGACGAGCAGCTGCCGGTAAACCAACCATATAACCATAGCGGTGTGTGACAAGGAACAGAAAACCAGAGTTGTGATAGCCGGGCAATCCCCAGTGGACGGCAACATCAAGAAGAAAGAGCACATAAGGCAAGGCAAGTTTATTTATATAGCACAATTCAACAACAAGGTGA